TCAGATAGACAGCCTTCCTCTCCCACTAGAGCCTCCATACTCTGCTATCCCTGCCACTGTCCACTGTGCTGTCAGCACCCCCATCCATTTCCCCCCCCATCTGCCCTTCTGGTAAATCTAGTCAGCCAGAGGTCACTGATCCAGGAGGATCAGCTTTTCCTCATCTACGGCAATCTATTGTCAATATTCCTTTGGATAGAATTGGGGTCTGCTGTTCATTTTTCCAGTAGTATCTTGGAACTGTCTGGAAGAGCCTTTATCCATCCTGTCCAACAATTCGACTGAAGGTTATCGCCTGTCTGGCTTTGCTGTTTGTCAAGTAGCTTTTAGTTATATATGTATGCTCTTTATCTTTATTTTTAATATATTGATACAATTCAATTTGTGTGGCCGTAGCATAATTTAATTACAATAATTTGATGCACATTGTTTTTTTTTTCATTTTTTAACAGTACAGATGATGCTATGTATAGTCCAGCAGCTTGTGTGTGTTAACTTTCACTGTGATTTTAGTTTACTTTCCCCTCTCTTAGTGAGAGCTGCTGTCAGCATCTTTCTGTTCAGCCTGCTTTCCAATTCAATTTGTGTGGCCGTAGCATAATTTAATTACAATAATTTGATGCACATTGTTTTTTTTTTCATTTTTTAACAGTACAGATGATGCTATGTATAGTCCAGCAGCTTGTGTGTGTTAACTTTCACTGTGATTTTAGTTTACTTTCCCCTCTCTTAGTGAGAGCTGCTGTCAGCATCTTTCTGTTCAGCCTGCTTTCATCGTAGACCCATGTTCTTCCTGCTCGCCTTCTTGGGTAGGTTGTGTACCCACTCTCAGTCTAGCTGCCTTTTCCCAGGTGATCCTGGCTGCTTTCACCTCTTCAGCAACCTCAGCCATTCCATGCTTGTCTTTCATGGCTTGATTTGCATTATCTGGAAGTGTTAGGAAAAGCAGTGTATCTGTCTTGACTGATACCAGAGGGATTAAAAGAAAAAAAAAATGAAATCACTTATTTCTTATTTCTACCTTAGCTCTGTATTCTTATTGAATGCTTTTTTGTAACTTACATAGCCAGGTAAAATTTGACAGGCCAGAACCTGGGGACTCATCTGAAAGAAGGGGGGTCAGTAAAGGATGTTAGAGCAGGGTGAGGAGCACCATACACAAAATCAAGGACCCAACTTCCAGAGAAGATCGCCCAAAACATTTGGAGAAAAAGAAAGTATATAACCTTCCAAACTGTATATATTTTTTAAAACAACCTACTTTGGGGAGTTAAAATTTTCCCGGTTAACTTAGAAGTCATACTTTTATGTATTTAGTTTTTAAATTATTTAATTTTTTTCATTTAAAAGAGTATGCCATGTTATAGTACAAATTAATTTAAGATAATAAATTTTATACTTAACTATTAGGACTGAAGATATGAATATAAAACAGACTAAAGGATCTCCTAATCTAACGTTATTAAAATAAACATAAAGATGAAGATTAAGGATTTAATCTGAGAAGTATAAAAATAAAACAGAAAATAAGCCAGTCCCTTATAGGTTGAATGGAGTTCCATGCCCAGTCAGAGCTCTGAACTCTATAAAAAATCCTCTTCTCAGAGTTGTTGAAGAAGAGGCCCAGGAGAGATGATTGCAGGAACAAGTGGAAGAAAGATTGTACCTCTGTGTACCAAGAGGTGAGGATGTCCCCAAAAATTAGTATTTGGAAATAAAATGAAAAGGGTAGGCCATCATCTTGGTATTTGTAGAATAGTTTTTAAAGCTCACAGATAAATGCTAAAATTACTTTAAATTTTACCAGTCACTAAGTTTTTAAATATTTTTTTAAACTACCATTTCTCAGAAAGTGTTTATTTAAAATTACTCATGTTGACTCTTATGTTTGACGTTAAACTCTTTAAGTAGTTATAAATGTGTCCCGTTGTGGATGCCTCTTATCTGATGAGTTCATCTCCTCCGCAGTTTCGGTGTCTGAACTGCTCAGCCTCGCAAGTCTGCTCTCAGGATGGCCCTTTGTATCAGGTAAGAGGCACTCACGACGGTACATATGACATCACAGTGCCAAGTGCTGACCGTTCCCATCCAAAATGCAAGTTCTCAGACATGTCACTTTGTAAAACTAATTTTCAAAAATCTTTTCAAACTTAAATAATCAAAGTGTCCCATTATTTTGTTCTCCCAAGTTAACCATTTCACTAAACTAAAATGAAATTACATGTGTAAAAGCCATTATTTGTTAATCAAGAATTTTTAATAACTACTGATTTCAGCCCTTGAGAAGTCTATAATCTGTCCTAGATTGAGATGTTACCATCTTTGTATAAGTGTTATTCTTTTAATGAGTCATTTGTCCAAGAGTAGAAGATGATATATCAAATTAGGTGACTCTAAATAGCAGCTGGGGCTCATTCTGACTGTGAGCTGGCTACTGGGCCCTGCCCTAATGCTGCTCTGGATTACCACTTTATAATGGAAAGATGGTGAACTCATTTAGTAATACACAAAGAAAATTTGAGCATGTGTCTAAGGAATATTTATCTAATGAAAACACATTTTAAAATTTTGGAGAACAAGAGGATTATTACAAGGTGCAGGAATACTCTGTGCTCAGCCTTAAACCCATTGTCCCTTCCCAGTAATTAAGAGAAGTCCTATTTCCTTCTAGTCAATAACTAGTAAACTTCAGTATTGCAGTTTTGAGATCGAGACAATTTACATTATTATTATGTAGTAAAAGACTATTATAAAATAGGGACCGAAGAGATGACTCAATGGTAAAGAGCACTTCCTACTCCTCTAGGGAACCCGGGTTCAGGTCCCAACACCCATGTGGCAGCTAACAACCATCAGTGACTCTAGTTCCAGGGGATCCAATGCCCTCTTCTGGTCTTGTGGGCACTGAACATACATAGCACACTTACATACAGGCAAAATAAAAATAAAACATAAAATGAATACCATAAAATCACTAATCAAAACTTTTAATTAGTTTATCTAGAATTTCCCTCAACATTTTGATCAGTGTTATGATCTTCAAATTTCTGTGCATTGTTAAAATATGAAGTTTTTGATATACATTAAGTCCTACTTTTTCGTTGTTCATAAATGGAATAACCTAACATAATGTTAGAAAGGCAAAGAGAAAATAAACATTTAGGAAGCAAAATCATCCTCTTCTTGCATTACACAGATGGAAGAAAGGGGTGAGCAAGCAGGTTAGTTGGCATCATGAAATTTATTAAATATGAACTGTAGGGGTGCTTTCAACTTTAAGCTTCTTAGCTGATTTGAGGTGATAAATTGTAGTGATAGACCTTACCCATAGCTGTAACCCATATATAAATGGCTTCCATTTTGTGTTCTTAGTATTTGTGTCTTCTTAGAAATAAAGTTATTCTTGAGCTCTGATCCTAATATTAAAGAATATTTGGATTAAGACAAATCTTTAAATCCATAATTTCCTTTTCTTTCTTCAACACTTGATTATATTTAACAGTCTTGTAAGAAAATTAAACTTGAAGTTTCAATTCTTCCAAATTCATTTCACAAAGACAGTCTAAATGTGATAGTAAAACTTGACAGAGAATTCGGTTAGAAAACTAGTACCAAGGGGAGTGGAGAGATGGCTCAGCAGTTAAGAGCTTGTACTACTCCTGCAGAGGGCTGGAGTTCTGTTCCCAGCACCCACATGGGGTAGCTCACAGCTGCCTGTGAGTCCAGCTCCAGGGAATCTGACACCCTCTTGTGAACTCTTTGGGCACCTGTACACACATGCACAGACCCACACAAGATAAACATAATTAAAAAAATAAAAATAGGGACTGGGGAGATGGCTCAGTGGTTAAGAGCACTGGCTGTTCTTGCAGAGGACCCAGGTTTGATTTCTAGCATCTGCATTAATTCCAGTTCCCAGCGTATCCAGTGCCCCCTTCTGACCTCCACAGGCATTGCATGGCATGGGTGCACTTACACATACTAGCAATACACTCGTACACAAAATAAAAATAATAAATAAAATAATAAAAATAAATATTTTTGGTCTTTTTGAGACAGGATCTCCCTGTAGCCCTAGCTGATCTGGAACTTGCTATGTAGACCAGGCTGGCCTCAAATTCACAGAGCTCCACTGGCCTCTTCCTCTCCGGTGCTGGGATTAAAGGTGTGCACCACCATGCCCAGCTATATAAAAATAAAAATTTT